TATCGAGAAAGACTCCGACCGACTTGCGTCCGACATTTCTGTCGAACACAAGCTCGTGCAGCACCCGGGTGAGTTGTGTAGTTGTCGAGTGGCCGCCCCTAAATCCGTGTTGTTCCTCACGGAGGGTAATGTGCGGCCACATACGTTTTAGCAATAATTTTTCGAACAATTTGGCTATATGTGAAAGTAGGGTGATAGGCCTGTAGCTAGCCGCTAATCTCCTATCCTTACCCGGTTTTGGCAGTACGAAGATCTTACCAATCTTCCACAATTGAGGAAAGCATCCTGTGCGCAGGATGCCGTTGAACAAACGCGCGACCGCGACGATGCTGCGTTTGGGAAGCTGTTTTAGAGCCGCATTTGGAATACCGTCGTGCCCAGGGGCTTTGCGCGCCGGTAGGCGCAACACAGCTCGCCACACCTCGGATGGCGACATAAATGTCACTTCCCCGAGGTCCGGCGCCGGGCCCGACAGAAATTCCTGTACGCGGCAGTCGACGATAGAGGCCGCCACCACCACCACCAGGGGTCGTCTACACTGCCCTAGGAGTCGGACAGGTGCAGGTACGGGTGTCGGGGAATCGAACCCCATGACCCGGGCATTGTCTCAAGGGGCGCACCGTCCCCCCGGGAAATGTTTTTGCCTAAAGTCGGCTCGGACAATATGATATACGCGTGACTCTAAGTTACACGTTATCTAATATAGGACGCTCCAGCCGTTGCCTTGGCAACGGCGATACGGGGGCGTTATATATTGGACGTCGGTCCCGCCGTCCCACCCTCACCCCCCCTGTGTGGGAGCGAGACGGGTAGCTGCAATATCTCTCGTGGGAGCGCGCGCCATTCAGGTGGACGCGCATGTAGAGGGGCGAATCCGTGGAGATGATGATGTGGGCCGTTGTCTGCGCGGTCGAACATGCGACGCGCAAGACGGATGATGAAGGATTCGAGGGTTTCGATTCTCAGGTCCCTCGCAATAACGTCATTCCTGACGTAGCGTCCCGCCCCCACGATAGTACGCAGGGACAGATTCTGCTGGGCTTGTAGTCGTTTCCGTTGATGGTTAGAGATAAGGGCGTACCATGCAGGTGCCGCATAAGTGAGCCGAGAGCGAATATAAGTCTTATACACCGCAAGCTTAGTTCGGGTCGGCAGATGGGATGCCAAGACGGGGTTTAGTACCGCGCGAGCGGCTCTAGTTTGGCGGACAATATTGTCCACCTGGGGGACTAGGCTTAGCGCGCGGTCTATAACGCACCCGAGATAAGTTACGGTGGACTGCCATTGTATATTCTGCCCTCGGAGGACTAAATGGGGTGTCTGCGCGGATGGCCGAGATGTTGAAAAGGCGGATGTCTTCCCGACGTTTAAAGCGATCCGCCATTTATCTAACCATTCAGGGAGCAAGTCAAGTAGCCTCTGCATTCTGCGTATTGCAACTGCGAGCTGACGAGATGACGTGAAAAACGCGCTGTCGTCGGCGTACAGTGCTAGGTGGACCCCTCTCTCACCCTCCCTGAGGCGACCTTCCAGGGTGGGGATGTCATCGGTGTACACCGCGTACAGAATCGGACTAACACAGCTGCCCTGTGGCACACCGGCCTCAATGCTTCGCACACCCGAAATCGAGTTTTCAACCACTACATAAAATTTGCGGTTGCTGAGGAAGGATGTAACTAATCTTATAAGGGCGTGAGGTATAGTAGTTGAGGTTATTAGTTTAAAAATTAATCCTTGATGCCACACCCTGTCGAAGGCCTTCTCGATGTCGAGTAAGACCCCGACCGACTTGCGTCCGACATTTTTGTCGAACACGAGTTCGTGCAGCACCCTAGTCAGTTGAGTCGAGGTTGAATGCCCTGCTCTAAACCCGTGCTGCTCGGGTCTTAGGGTAATGTGAGGGCGTAATCGCTTAAGCAAAAGCCGCTCTAATAATTTGCCCAAGTGAGGTAATAATGTTATAGGTCTATAACTGGATGGTTGGCGTCGGTCTTTACCCGACTTCGGTAGTGCGAAGATTCTTCCGGTTTTCCATACATCCGGAAAGTGCCCCGCGCGTAAACTACCATTAAAAAGCCGCGTTAATTCAACGATCATTGTTCGGGGCAACTGTTTTAGCGCCGAATTCGGAATCCCGTCGTGCCCAGGGGCCTTGCGCGCCGGGAGGCGCAACACGGCTCGCCAAACCTCCGACGGCGACATAAATGCCACCTCACTGAGATCCGGCGCCGGGCCCGACAGAAACTCCTGTACGCGGCAGTCCACTAGACTGTGGTGCGCGCCGACCACAGGATTAGCTAAGTTAGGAGGGTTCAATTTAAATTGGCCCTCGAGATGATCGGCTAGGATGTCCGCTCGCGCTTGAGCGCTGTAGTGACGTTTTCCCGCGCCGTCGATAAGAGGACAGACTGCCGTTTTGGCTCGCGATAGCTGCCGGTTCAGGAGGTGGAGTGACGTGAGATGCTCTCCTGCGTCATCAATGCGCCTTCTCCACAACTCACCGCGGTGGTTTTTCACCTGTTCCGACAGCTTTTCGGAAAAGGAATTTAACTCGTGCTTGATAAGAGGGCAACGAGTGCGTTGCCATAGTTTGCGTAGTGCGCGTTTGCGTCTAAGCAAGATACGTAAACGCAAGGGTAGTGGATCGCTACGTGCGTCGTCCGGGAGTGTTTTCGAGGCCGCCTCCTTAGCCTCCGTAATACGTTGACTAAGTTTAACGGCGGCACTTTCGACATCTTCCGGTGTGGTAATCGTTTTCGGCAATGAAAAATTTTTAAAATGAGCTTGAAACTTCCCCCAGTCAGTCCGCATTCTGGGTTGCCTAGGGACAACGCTCGCGGCCCCCAAATCAAGCGAAACTAAGACGGGAAGGTGTGGCGAGATAACGTCATGCAGCACGTCAACTTTGATTGGACGATCCCAGCCGTGGGCTAACACGATGTCTAATACATCGGGCTTATAACGCGGATCTATGGGATAGTGTGTTGGCTCAGAAGGAGCCAACACAGTGTATCCCCAAAAATCAGAGTCGGCATGAAGTGCCCTGCCCGTTGGGTTGATTAAGCGAGAGCCCCAAGCCAAGTGCTTGGCATTGAGGTCGCCCACTATCAACGCAGGGGTGCTACCATCAAATATGGTATGAATGTCTACGGTGTAGAGATGTGGTTGAGGAGGGCGGTACGCGGCGTAGGTTCGAATCTCTCTCCCACCCACATTTAACCTCACACCTGTAGAGGACATGGTAATGAACGGACTGTTCCCTAATTCGTCGTGTATTAGATCCCTCCGCACAAGAACCGCTGTACCACGGTAAGCGATCCCTTGCGGAGTGATCTCGTCGCGCCGATACACGAAGTAATTAGGGAGTTTGAAATGTTGTCCCGGCCTAAGTTTAGTCTCGCCCAGTAATATGACATGTATGTCATATAGCTGGGCGAGGGTGCGAAGCTCTGCCGCCTTCAGGCTCACACCGTCGGGATTCCAATACATTAGCGTTAAAATAGGCGACCTACTCATATTGCGCCGAAGTTAGTCGGGTGATCGCCCGTAACATTGCGTTTACGGGTGCCTGTCCGGCTGCTATTGCAGCGAGACCTTCGGAAATTAGGTCCGCGACTACTCGGGCGAAGATCTGCAATGTCTCTGCAAGCCTATCGCCCGAGCCGTCGGGGCCTACTACCCCATGTGTGGTGGAGGCGTCTCTATATGCCCTGGATATCTTATCGGGACGCGTTCGTCGGCGGGGTCTTCGGTGTCTTTCCGAAGACTCCGCTTCCGATTCGGGTGGCAAAAATGAAACGGCGCGATGAGTTATATTTATTCTGCGCGAGTCCCTATCCGTTTCTGATTCGGCAGTAGCTTCGGAGGCTTCTTGGCGTTGGCGGCGTTGACGGCGTCGACGTTGTTGTTTTTGACGTATTCCGTGCTTTCCGCGCGGGCGTGGGTCATTGGCCGGCGGCTGGAGCGTAGTTGGCGGTTGACCGCTCGGCACGGCCGCCGCCGGCGCACTGGAGTCTCGCTGTGGCGGCGCGTGGGAGGCGTCGCGCGCTTCTGGTGGCGCGACAGCCATAGCGCGACGTGCGCGCTGTCTTTGTCGCACAGTCGCTCGGTGGGTAGTGCGTGGGAGCGGGAGGGCAGTTGTTTGTGTCACTGCGGCTCGCGTCTCGTCTGCGGGAGGTTGCGGGGCGGGGGGGGGGGGGGGGGGGCGGGGGCGGTGTGTCGCGCCTCGCTGCCGCGAGCCCGGTCAGTCGACGGCGCGCGGCGCTCGGTGATGACGCGCTGTGTTCCCGCGTCGATTCGCGTAGTGCGCGACTGCGTATTTCGCGCAGTGCGTAATTGCGCGTTATTACCGCCTACAGTTATCCATCCTTCCGCGTCAGTAGTGTTACGTTTTTTATTATTCGCATTGCGCGGAGGGACGGGAAGTGGTGTGGAAAGTGTTGTTCCTCGTTTGCGTGCTTCGCGAACGTATACGGGACAGCGGCGGTCGTTGGCTGTATGCGCCTGGCCGCAGTTAGCACATTTAGGCGTTGTGCCCGGTTGAATATCGCACTCGGAAGCGATATGTTCGCCCGCGCACTTGACGCATCGGACGGGCCGGTGACAGTTTGCGGATGAGTGGCCATACTGTTGGCAGCGGTGGCATTGGGGTGGGCCCTTCTTGCCTTTCCACCCCATAACGGTAATGCCCGGCATATTGAGCAGTTCATTCACTGCATATAGGCGAGCGAGTTCCGCGCCACTCAGATGTTCGAGTGACACGAAAAAGAGCCCTCCCGGGCGTTGACGTTGCGGCGGTATTAGTTTAACGTGTTGCGCTGGGAAATCGAGGCTCCTCAGCGCATGCAGGATCTCATCGGGGGTGGTATCCGATGGCAGCCCTCTGATGCCGACCTTGGTCGGTAGTTCCTCCTGAGGAGTATAACAATACCACGAAATGGCTATTGTTTTAGAGGCGTCGGCGAGGTGGCGTTGAATAATTCTATACTCCTCAGGAGTTTGCGGCAGGAAACGTACTCCTTTGCCGAAGGGGCGGGCGTTAGGTGCGTGGCCTAATTTACCTCGCAGTTCGTGAAAGTGACGTGTCCACTCCGGCAGGAATTCGCATACGATGGGCGGGTAGCCCTTACGCTGTGCGGTCGACTGCTCGGAGTTCACGGTAGCGGCGGTGGTGGCGGCGGCTGCGTTGGGTGCTGCTGCTGCGATCGATGGCGGAGGTGTGGGCGTCTTGCGCCTTGGTGTTGCGGTTGCGGGTGCGGCTGCTGTGGCTGCGTACGACGTCGAGGGCTGCGGGCTGCGAACTCGGGGAGAGAGAGGTGAGGCACCCTTACCTGCACTTTCTTTAGCAAAAGTTGCATATGAGGTGGCGTCGGTCCATGCCGATTCGCCACCAAGCTCCTCCATTTCAAAATGTCGAATAAATACATCCGAGCGTCGGTCCGGAGAGACGCTGGGAGTGGATCGAGGTGTAGAATCCACCGAGGTGGATGAGGATGACGGCGATCGGGGCGGCTGCGAATACGCACGCGCTCCCGCGTCGAGCAGGCGCTGTTCGGGCGAGGTAACGTCCGAGCCGACACGTGGTCGCTTGTCGGTCGGCGAGGTTATTAGACCGCATGGTGAGGTGTGCGGGCGCGTGGTTTTGGGCGGGCGTGCGGGTTTCGGTTCCTCGGCCCGAGTATAATCATATGTCGGGCCTCGGAGTATCCGGCACGTCGGCACTGGCGTCTTACCGCGTTGCGTCTTGGTGGCATCGGTGCTTGCGTGGCTGTCCGTGTGGCTGACTTTTTCAGCTGCGACGGCCGCGGAGGATGTTGTTGCGGCCGGGGTGCGGATCGGCGGCAGCGGACGTGGCGGCTCGTTCGCGAACAAGTTTCGCTCAGCGAGCGGCCGGTCAACAACCGCCGGCGGGCGGTCCCGCCTGCGTGTTGCAGAGGGAGGATCTCCCCTGTCCGTCATGCTGACGGGGGCCCACGATGGTAAGGGCTATTTTATCCCCTTGCGAGCTAACGCGCACCTTACTCCCCTCGGCGCGGGCGGACCCACCGGGTGAGACCCCAAAGGGGAGGCCCAGCGAGGCGCCCAGCGAGCGGGGAGCGGTGCGCGGGTCGCGATGTTTTTTGGGATAACTATTCGCACGTTGTGCGTGCACTGTCAGCCCCTTTTCTTTATGAAAAGGGGAGATACAGTGCAAGATGCTTGCACTCGCGGTCGCGGGGGCACGGGAATCGTGCGAGCGAAAACACGTGGTTTAAGAGGTTAAACTCGATACGGCAGTCCGGACGGTGG